ATATGTAACCAACAAAAATTTAAAAAGAAAAAAAATACAAACACTATGGAACTTAAACAAAATGCCTACATTTTACTGCCTGGAAATAACCCGAAAAACTGTATATGGAGATAGAGAAACATCGTTAAACGAGAAAAGAAGACACGTTCGAAAGCTTACTGTGATTTCCGAGTGGGACTCGAGTACTCGTTGCTGTTTTCTGATGAAGTGACCTCAGATGAAGCTGTTGATGATAAACGAGTATGCTCATTTGAAGCACTTTCAAAGCTCTTTGCTTGAAATTGAGGTTTATGGGGAGTTTCAGTATTAGCATGCCGTTTAGTTTGGCCTTCTTCAGCTAGCTTCCTTAGAAGGTTCGTGACCGTGGGCAAAAACTTGGTGGATAATGCTAAGATACCGGGTAACTGTAGGCATGAAAAGAATTAAGTGATAATAATGATTAATAATTTAAAAAATCTTTGCAGAAGTTCAGGTACGAGTGCAGTTTAGAATATTTGCTCATGTGACGAAAGAAATAAGTAACGTTCTTAATAAATGCTTCACTTACAAATCCATGGCGGAAGTCACCGGATATGTCTAACTGAACCCAAAGAGCTTTCATAATCAGGAAACCAACGAAAATGACGCACAAATACAAAGGATTTCTGCCAAAAAAATCATAAAATATAGCAAGAAGTACAGATATTTCAGTTATGCTGATGATGTAATCTTGCAATGACAAAACTCTCGAAAAAAGAGCGAATAAAAGATAAGAAGTACCTCAAAAGGGTCATAAACTCGTTAAATCCCAAGACAAGTATAGCCACAATTGCCCATGGAGGTGGCAACCAGTTGTTGTTTCGCTTGCTGGCCTCCTGATAATCGAGAAATAAATATAGAAATTATTTTGTGAACACGAAAAAAAAAATCTGAAAAATGGATGATAACATGATTGTGTATAACACCATACTTTTCAGAGCCTAACATATGCAAAAGTTACCTGAGCAGCAATGGCTTGACTAACAGTATATTCTGTCTCGGCTTTAAACTGCCTCCACAAAGATTTACACTGGACTGGTGTTAACAAGCTTTTTGACGAGGGAACCTGAGTCGGTGAAAAAAATTCTCACTCAGTCAATCACATTGAAGAGCTCCAATTTGCACGAGTGTCTTAGGTAAAACATAATTAAAGATCCAAATTTTATTTTTTTTTTGGTAATGAACAGTATGTTTGTCCATTGCAAATGGAGCTAGAAGAGTCGTTGTTGACAATTCTCCTGGCATAGTGCTAATAATGGACTAGATAAAAATGGCTCAATTAAATTCTAGTGCTTCTTCTATTAGTGAAGTTTCTAGAAAAAAAATAAATATATATCAAACGGCGCAATGCACCTTGGGTCGCTACGGAAACAGCCTCCTTGTATAATTACAAGGGTAAGGTCTGCGTACAACTGACCCCCCAGACCCCAACCTGTTGGGAATATATTGGGTATGTTGTTGTTGTTGTTGTTATTGTTGTAATGAACAGTATGTATCATTTGCCATGAAATCAGTCAATCACAACTATGAGCGAAAGAGTCAGACATTCAGCACACCACTCGACACTATGAGTAAATAACAATGATCATAGGAAAAGGAATAAACTAAAGATAAAAAGTAAAATTGCAGGTAATAAATAAATTTTTCCTTTTTTTTCCCCCCTCTAATAGGTGCTTCTATTTCCAAAATTATTGTTAACTACAACTTAGTTACCTCATCCCAACTGCTTGAGGCAAGCGGGTCGACTGAGATACCCCTATTAGTAGAGGCTGCAGTTTTGGGGTCCGCAAGAGCAAGTGATAATGTACGCTCAATATTATCCGCAACATCATCCAAACGAACAGCAGCCATGATAGATAATAGCTTCA